GCTTTCAGGGACACCAATCATACCGAGATGCGTGATCTGTCGTAGTGGGTAACGATTAGTTGTGTTGAATGCGTGTGTGGGGTTGACTTTGTTGTGCAGTTTGGTATGTTTTGGTGTGGGAGGTTCCCGGGCCGTGAATTTTTGTGTGTGTTTAATTTAATTTTCCGTATATTTGTGTCCTAATGTTCTGGTGCCAGAGCTTTTGTGTTCGGATGTATTCTCTCTCTCTCTCTCTCTCTCTCTCTCTCTCTCTCTCTCTCTCTCTCTCTGTCTGTCTGTCTCTCTCTCTCTCTCTCTCTCTCTCTGTCTCTCTCTCTCTCTCTCTCTCTCTCTCTCTCTCTCTCTCTCTCTCTCTCTCTCTCTCTCTCTCTCTCTCTCTCTCTCTCTCTCTCTCTCTCTCTCTCTCTCTCTCTCTCTCTCTCTCTCTCTCTCTCTCTCTCTCTCTCTCTCTCTCTCTCTCTCCTCTCTCTCTCTCTCTCTCTCTCTCTCTCTCTCTCTCTCTCTCTCTCTCTCTCTCTCTCTCTCTCTCTCCTTCCTCTTCCCCCTCTGCGTCAGTTCCACTCCACAATTGATGGGACGGGCTGCCCCGTCCACCCAGTTGACGGGTTGACAGGAATGCGTGACGCCGCTCAAGGAAGGGAGGCGCGTCTGACCTTATGTTGAGTTACATGTTCGCGTGTGTGTGTGTTCTCTCTGACCTGCTGGCCCTCTGGGTGTTGCCGGGTGTTGGTGTGGTTGTGGGTGTAGCTGGGTGTTGGTGTGGTTGTGGGTGTAGCTGGGTGTTGGTGTGGTTGTGGGTGTAGCTGGGTGTTGGTGTGGTTGTGGGTGTAGCTGGGTGTTGGTGTGGTTGTGGGTGTAGCTGGGTGTTGGTGTGGTTGTGGGTGTAGCTGGGTGTTGGTGTGGTTGTGGGGGTGGTTGTGGATGAGAGTGGGTGGTTGTGGGTGTGTATGGCTACTCCAGGTGTACTTGGGAATAGGTTGGTGTGGGTAGTGTGGGTGTGGGTGGGTGTTTGTATTTTGCGTATATTTACATGTGTTGCTGGGTGTGTTTAAGGCTTATATTTGGTGAGTGTGATTGTTTTGGGGTGATGCAATTATTTTCCTGTATTTTAAAGGTGTTTTTCCGGATTGTTTGAGTACGATTGTGGGTGTTTTTTGAGGGGAAAGTACTCACTTAGTTCACCAAGTGTACACTCACTCACCAAGTGAAATTTTCTGCCCGAAACCCTATGCGTATTAATGGCTTTAGGCATAGTATATACTGGCATTCTCTAGAAATCCAATATTCTGTTTGTAACTCATTTTGTACGTATGTACTTTTACCTAAATAAACTATTATTATTATTATTATTATTATTATTATTATTATTATTATTATTATTATTATTATTGTTATGGTTAACTCACCAAGTTGTTCTCAGGTAATTGTGTGTGAAAAGGGGGTTAGATATTGCTGTTGGACTTTCTTAAAAATACGTTTAAAGCTATTTATGACATCGACTCCCAACACTTAAAATTTGGGTAAATTCTCTTGCTTACTTTAGCTAACACTGAAAAAATTCTTTCTAATGATTTCGTTGTCCAGTTTAGTGTGTAATTTCCAGCTGAGACCTCTGATCTTTTACTTTCAAGAAGAGCTTATTTTTGTCTGTATTCAATCTAAGTATTTTGTAGGTGGGGATCATGTCTCCCTTATATTTCGTGTCTCTCCTATATTTCTCCCTCTTTGTCTCTCCCTTGGGGCCACTTGGACAGGTACCCAGGGACCCCAAGATTCTAGTGGCCCCAATGCTGTTCATGAGAGATCTCTTGGCAGAGTGGCTAATTACTCGACCTGGAATTCAAAACTCTTGTCTAATTATATTTATATAAAAAAAAATGTGTATATAATTGTAATTCTGCATTTTCGGGGATGGGCGGGGCCCGTCCTCCTTCCTGGGGGCCCCAAGGCAGTGAAGGTCTTGTTAATATCACCGGTGTGTTTCAGTCTGGGATTTCAATTCACCGAGGGCTTGTTTAGGCAATATCTCATACATCTAATTTTATATTTTAATTATCTTTTCTATAAAATAATTGCTTTTTTTGTCTGTAAGTAAAATTGGTTAATCTTATATAATATTTTCAGCATTTTTTTTTCAGAATGTTAATATTTTATGTTCACGTCAGATGTATGAAGGATTATTTATTGAACTAAAAGCATTTTCCTAGTTGGTCTTTGTTATATATATTTTATAAACACGAAGGAACATTGGGATTGTGAGAGTTCATAATATTTATGTTCTTACACTCATTATGTTTTATTGATCAATGCTAGTTTGGTTCTCTGTTGATCCAATAGTTTTATTCTGGTTTTATCTTTATTGATCAACAAACAATATTGGAGTTATATATATATATATATATATATATATATATATATATATATATATATATATATATATATATATATAACTGAAAATTCACACCCCAGAAGTGACTCGAACCCATACTGCCAGGAGCACTCTGCTGGCGTACAGGATCCCTTAACCACTCGACCAACACGACCGGACAAAAGAGGATGGTAGCCGAGGCTATTTCCATCTCCTCGCCGGCACTCGGTTGGTAATCTTGGGCATGGTATTTTATTAAATCACCTCATTCATTGGGGAGCATCTTCGGCTACCATCCTCTTTTGTCCGGTCATGTTGGTCGAGCGGTTAAGGGATCCTGTACGCCAGCAGAGTGCTCCTGGCAGTATGGGTTCGAGTCACTTCTGGGGTGTGAGTTTTCAGTTGCATATAATCCTGGGGACCATTCAGGCTTGTTCGCATATATTTATATATATATATATATATATATATATATATATATATATATATATATATATATATATATATATATATATATAACATATGTCGTACCTAGTAGCCAGAACGCACTTCTCGGCCTACTATGCAAGGCCCGATTTGCCTAATAGGCCGGGAGATTTCCTTTATTTTCAATAAATTGTTTCCAATTGGTTTATTTTAAATATTATTATTATATTATATTAAGAACATAAATTATTGATTTAGTTATGTTAGTTTAGCTTAGGTTAAGATAGGTTAGGTTAGGTAGGGTTGGTTAGGTTCGGTCATATATCTTCGTTAGTTGTAACACAAATTTAAACAAATTAGCTCATACATAATGAAATGAATTGCTTCATCATTTCATAAGAAAAAAAATTGAAAAATATTGAAATTTAGGAAAACTTGGCTTATTTGGCAAATCGGGCCTTGCATAGTGGCCAAGAACTGCGTTCGGGCTACTATAAGTACATTATATATATTGTGACGATAATCTCTTTCAAAAGAGATTGAGCCTGCTCTTCCCTACAAAGTACGTCAATATACAAGATAATATAGAAGATACGTCTACCAAATATCGCCAAAACGTTTTGCCCAGAGTACCCAGCACACAGTGACACCTGCTACCTACCACCGCCGTAACCAGCAAACTGCTCATCCTTTGCCTGCCTGTCGCTGATTGGCTGGTGTCTCGTCGCACCTGCCCTCCGCCACAAGTTGACGTCTGGGCTGCAGTGAGCTAATATCGTCAGAATATCTCAGTGCTCCAAGCAGTTGACATCTCTCGCTGGTAGACTAAGCCTTGGCTTTCGTGCACTAAGGGAGGTGGCAGCTCGAAGCCAATATTCCAGCATCACTAATATTTTATTTTGCTATCACTGTAACTCACTTGTCTTAACGTAACTTTTCATTTGCCAATGATTATTCATATTATTTTGTTTGTTGACTTGTCTTTCATATTTTATGTGCTAAACTTTATTCATGTCTTGTTTTTCTAAAGTAATCAAAATTTCATTGTTAATTTACTTGTGTTTTGTGTGTCTTCCCATTACCTTACCACAGATGAAAGCTCCAGCTTTTCTCTTTTTTTTTCTATTATGTGACGAGGCCCTGCCCCTAGCTTTTGAAACAGCCGAACACCAACGCTTTACCGTCACAATATATATATATATATATATATATATATATATATATATATATATATATATATATATATATATATATATAACTTTAGAACACTTTCCCACCAGGAGACTTGAACCCTAGCCAGCACAGAAGCCTTCCAGCAACTGGCATAACAGGTACGCCTTTAACCCACTGCACCACCGGTCAGACCCTTAAAAGAGATGGTAATTTCGGAGTATTTATACACACCAAAGACCACCATCTCCCAAGAGCACTAGAGCAAGTGAGAGGTCATTTTTACGTTTTTCATCAAGTCCCTGTTAATATGGGAGAACACTGTGTCTATGCTTGATGCACAACTCTCTTAAACACGAGAGTGAAGTTAAACAACTTTAGAACACTTTCCCACCAGGAGACTCGAACCCTAGCCAGCACAGAAGCCTTCCAGCAACTGGCATAACAGGTACGCCTTTAACCCACTGCACCACTGCTCAGACCCTTAAAAGAGATGGTAATTTCGGAGTATTTATACACACCAAAGACCACCATCTCCCAAGAGCACCAGAGCAAGTGAGGGGTCATTTTTACGTTATATATATATATATATATATATATATATATATATATATATATATATATATATATATATATAATATGGAATTATTATGGTTTATCATAATCAACCCTCGTTGCGTGTTCTCGTATCATATATTTCATCCAACTATTTTAACCAGGTTCAAATTCATTGATCAATTGATATTATTTAGGCCTATCCATATTGACTCGGCATTATTATTCTGGTGTATTTTTATTGAAGAAATATTATTTCACTTTAAATGTAGAAATTGTGTTTAGCTCTTTCGAAATGTTTATTAGTTATTTTTCTGATTAGACTTTATTGAACCAGTAATGAATTGTTATGTTATCTTTATTGAACCAACCTCATTAGTCTCTATTAAGGTTATTGATATTATAATAACATTTTGATTCATTTACCTTGATCCTAGAGGTTATTATGCAGGTCATAGATTGGGTAAGAAAATAAAATAAATTTTTTTATCTGTGTATGATTTAATAAAATAAATCTTTGAAAATCTACATTTGTCCATCAAAATATATGCTATGGCATTCCATTTTTAAAATGAAAAAAAATAATAAATAGAAAACCTCCAGGAATATTATATATATAGACATAAACACACAATACTCCTGAAGATGGCAACTGAAGAAATTCCTTTCAGCGGGGTCTTGTCTAATTGACTCGTCACCTACTCACTTGTAAACAATATTTGGAAGAACAATGGGCTAGTTAGGCTATATGAACCTGTTGAGCTTGCATAGGATGAAAATAGAAGTGGATTGGAAGAGCTGGCGGTGTTTTGGTTGTGAGAATTGAAGGAAGGGGAGGGATAGATGGATAGATAGATAGTTGCTTTGTATACAGACTGGATACAGGTGATTTGGACGTCTGTTGTTATTTAAGCTTTTGGCAACGTCATTCAAAATCGTTAGAGAGTTATGGTTAATTGGCTAGTTTGGCGAGTCAAATGAGGAGTTGAATGCTGGTTTTTAATTGGTTGTTGGGCTTGAGGCCTGTTTAATCTCTGCAGGATGATTAAAGCAATCACAAGCGCTTACTAACTACCGGTAATTATAGACTTCAGTTCTGTATATAGCTCACTGCTATAGTAAGCTCTCCTCTCATATACTGTATATTCCAAGAAGATAAATATACCTCCTGGTGAATATAA